ATTTATACCACATACATCCATTGTAAACAATGAGCGGACATTTTTGTTATATACATTACATTTTCGGTAAGAAAGTAAACATAATCCCCACCCTCTTAAGTCGTGTTGAAGATTTATTACCTAATACGCAGGTATAGAATGCTTCAGTTGACAAACGTGTTAATATCATTTTGTTAATAGATACCTTGTACACCGCTTGTTTACCATCATGTAGACTAGTGGTGCATCTGCATATGTTTTAAATTGAAAAAAAAATATACAAAAATTCTTTATTAACATGATGTTTTGGTTGTATATAATATGTCAGTTAAGCGTATTTCACATATTAATTTATCTACATGCAAAAACGCGTTGTTTACATTGACACGCTTGTGTGCCTACGTGAACCAAAATAAGGACACAAATCAATAAAGTGGTAAAATATAGAATGTTGTTTCGAATACATTCATTTTAGATTTAAAATGGAGAGAAAAATACTTATAGGAATGGACTTGGTATTATTTATTACAGGTATGATATTTTCCATGTATTTTTTGTTGTCATATTTTATTTCCATAATTCAGATCTAAGACTATATATTTTTACTTAAATATATAAATATTTCAAATACCAGTGAAATTATTTGATATTTGTCATTAACCAAATAACCGACATATTGAACTGTACAATTTACAGAGGAAACACATGATTTAACTGCTTTGATCAGTATTAATGTGTTTAACAGTTGTCCTGGGCACGTGGGTTTTTTAGTACATTGTAGTACTCAACCGCTGCAAATCTATAATGTTACGTTCATTTTATATGTTTTCATTGATTAAAACATTTGTCATTTGTGATAAATTAGTTATACAGGCCTTTGAAAGGTAGTATGGTGATGTATAAAGTGTTGTTTATTATACATATATAACTATCTTAATGACTTCGCTTCATATAAAAAGTGGGCGTCCGTTGCCGAGTGGTTAAGGTAGTTCTGTGGGTTCGAATCCTATCAGGGACTTGGGATTCTTTTATGCGAGGAAGCTATCCATCTAGCTTTTAGCTGCGGTCTCACTTACTCCCGGCAGAGCCCAGGACCATCCCGGTAAGTTCCCGGGACGATCCGGGATGAAATTATTGTTGCGGTCACACTTACCCGGCAGCACTACGGTAATATCCATCTTTCCACCCAGGATGCGCTCCGGATCATCCAGGCGGAACCCAGGTTAAGCTACGGTTCATGCCAGTGCTTCCCCGGTCGTTCCCGGATGACGCCTAAAGAGCCCCGGTTGACCCAGGCAGAGCCCCGGTCCATTCAGACAGAGCCCTGGCAGAGCCCAGGACGATCCAGGCAAAGCCCCGGTAGAACCCCGGCGGATCGAAAACGTGCAAAAATGAAAACATTGATACAAATTTTTTATTTTGTTCCAGAATAGTAATTCATGATGATTTTCTGAAAAATCCTTATGCAAGACTGGATACAGGGAAAGGTTTTAATACAAACAAGTGCAATCATCGCAAAATGTCGTGATTCCTTTGAGATGAACCGGGCTTTGCTGGGGTTTTACTGGGATAAATTGTAGCTCCATCGTCATGTTCCGGGGCTCTGCCGGCATTCACCGGAGCTCTACCGTAGCTCTACCGGCTCTATGTTACCCCGGATCATCCCCGGTTTTTTGCCGGCAGAGCTACGGTGCCTTCCCGGTGTTACCCCGGTCGTTCCCGGCAGAGCTAAGGCTGAGGCAGGCAAAGCTATACTTCCCGGACCATCCCGGACCACCCCGGTAATATTAAATATTTTATTCCATCCAGGTTGTTCCCGGTCGTACCCCGGTCGTTCCCGGATCACTTCGGACGAATGCCGGTGCTCTGTCGGGATGTAAGTGAGAATGAAGTTTTACGCAACGTCGGTAGTTCTACTCAGGTGCCCATTCGTGCCTAAAATAATGTATGGAAGGGCACCTGAGGTCTTCCTCTACTAGTAAAACAGGAACGTCGCGATATGACCTATAATGTGTTGGTGTGACATAAAAAACAATCAATCAGACAAACAAATATTATAAAAATTTCCTTCTATCAACAAAGGTTCGAGACCTACCTAAGTAATGGTCTGTGCTTTCAAATGACAACCAAAATGGTTAGGCCAGAGTAGCTAGGTCATTAAATCTTCAAAATGTCAGTTTTCTCATGACAATAGATATTTCACGACGCATATCATACTACACTGTTGCAAATACTATTTAATAACATATTTCAGTGTTTACTTATTATCGGGGAAAATAAATAGTATGAATAGTATAATTTTAATTGCAGTTACATTAGCATGGGATTGTTCTGACCGGGAAGAACAAAAGAAACATACTTGGTGTGAAAATGGCTGTTGTTTCGACAAAGATCCGGTTCGATGTTGTACGTGGGTCGAGTATGTCATGTCATATTATTTCACCGTTCAAATTATGTTTATTAGGAGGCATAGTTTACATGTACACCAAAGCGGTCATGCATGGCGCAGCCGCTCGGCCAATTTAATGCAGTTAGAACCAATTTAATGTTTGAAGTTATTTTTTACAAAGCTGTTGATTTACTAGACTGATTGAATTTAGCCGATTTACCAATTTGAATGTACACATTTTATATGTTTGAAAGTAAATATGTTCTAATCAATTTGAAATAGTGCAATGCTGTTGGACAGAAAAAATTGTCAAACACTAAAAACTGTTATATCTACAGATTATATGCTAAATGTACTTGTTGAATTTACTTTTAAATATGTTTCATATCGCTGCGCATTAACATTTTAGTAAAGTATTTTAAAATATCATAAAGGTCATGTTTTATTTAGTTTACATAAGTACATATCAGCCAGCAATGGATTTCAGTAGGCGCTGATGAAATTGGTCAAGTGCAAGTAAAGTTTATCTTAAAATTTAGTGTTATGTAACCTGTTAAATATGACATTTTTGTATTCATACGAATCTTAAATGAAATTGTTTTAGGTCAATGGGCTCGGTCTTTTGGACAATTATGGGTCTAGGTGCGGGCATGCTTTTATTATCAATTATTGTTGGTATAGTGTGCTGCTTGCGGAAGAAAGAAGGGGTTGCAGGAGAAGTAATATCAATTAGGCAGGGTAGGTAATGGTTTTATTTATAGTGGTGTAGTATATCACAAGTATGCAATTAGGAAACGTTTTTTTCAGAGCATCTTGGATGTTAAACAACTGCAGAAAGTAGAGTTGAATACGCAGTAATGTGCTGTAAAGGATAAGGAATATAAAACGATAATATCGTTTCAAGGGCTTAATGGGCCTTAAAATAGCTATTGTCCGGATAAACGATGAAGTTTTTAAAGAATTACCCATGCCTTTGCTTAAAGGTTGAGAAGCAGACATACTTACCACTAGGCCGTGTCAACCTTAAGAATGATTTTTTAGTTACTTTGTATATCTGTTACGACACAATTTGGGTATTGTACGTCATTTTACTATTGTAAGAAAATACCACCGGCTTGAAATGTGAGCGATCAGCGTATTAACTGTTTGTTCAGTGGATATCTCTGTCAATTTTTTAGATATCATTTTCAATTTTTTTAGCAAGATTGAATAATTTATATATTTTGCAAGATTTGATTATTCAAATATTATCATTTTTGATTACAGAACCACCGCGAGAAGGATCAGCATTAAATTCATTCAGCACGTCACCAAGAAATACTCCACGAACCCCTACCGCGCCAAATATAAATTCCAACTTTACTCATCATACAGATAGAAATGAATGGACTATTTATCAAACTAATGAAACCAGTGCATCAAATGGTGATTTAAGACCATCATCTAACAGAGCTACATCAGCCAATCATAACATTAACAGTGTAACAAATTACACAAATACAGGCACAGGCCAGCAGGCAAGGCCTCAGCTTAATGCGCAAAGAAACACAGATCAGCCGCCAGCATATGAAAGTTTACCACCGTCGTATTCAAGTTTATTTAACGCCAACAGTTGATGAACAGTATGGGTTTGCTCATTTTAAAGGGTGGAAAATCACCACTGTTATCTCAAAGTATCCATACTAAAGACTAAATAGTCTTTATTTTTATAATAAAACATGGCATGTGATAAGAACATCACTGCCATTCACACGTGCGTGCAGGATAAAGGAGCAACTCTGTGATACAAATATTTATTTTATAATATTATGAATATGATCTGTTAAGATTCATTTAACATGTTATAAGTGAAAAAGGTATTTGACGTATGTTTAAACCAAGTTTTTGGCATTCATCACCCAATTCATTATATCAAACGCATCTTTTAGCCATTTCCGTCAAACTTGGGATAAGCACCTGGAAATACACAGAACGGAAACGATGTAACCTACGCTGAGAAACTAAACATGTAAACAGATATTAATTTAATACTATACAATTAGTGACTCTTGTGCCATTGAATATGAAATGATATTCACCAGCAGGTGACATACTGACCGAGGCAATAGCCGAGGGCAATATGACTTTCTGCCGGTAAATATCATATCTTATTCAATGGCTCACTAGTCAATAATTGTTTTATTATATGTATAGCCTTTACGAATTAAAAAAAAATCTCAAAGAGAACATGTTCAACGTGTGTCTGTTTCGTTGAAGCGCGAGAAAAAGACGCACTTGTCAGGCATGCAACAAATACGAGAACGTGCGCATACAAAATAATTTCAAGTCTTTATTCATAATTGCGGTGTAACCTTTTACTACAATAGTAAAATAATGATATTTTAATCGAAAAATATGCCATATAGAACACAACGCAGCAATTAATTTTCCTTAAGCACGCGTTATTAACAGTGTACGATATATGGTCACAATCTATTTTTTGACAATCCAATTCAGCCAGTGAATATGATACTACACCCAGTGAATATGATTTTATGAAAAGTTCCGTTGACTACTGCTTGGACCAATGAGATTGCAGCTATATTTAGATAAAATAAAATATCTTCCCGTTTGCTGGAAATCGTAGTCGTGTACTTACAAACATCTAGAGCTATAATTTTTAAATCACTGTATATAACAATCAAGTAATATTTGTTCAAATAATCTATGCAATATTAACAATCAACTTTATTTGTGCACCTATATGGAATAGTTTAAAAAACCGTTAATAGTAAGCATATTATTATGAATTTATAATTAGAAAATATTAAATCGATGTCCTATGACTATATATGTATTGAATTATATAAATCGTATGATTACAACGTTTCTGTAGTTATTTATTAAAACATGAAAGTGTCTTTAAGGTTTTTACTGTTGAAATGTACACAAATAATTATTAAGGGGCTGGGGGAGGGGGTATTTGTTCGTTTGTGTTTAAAGGGTTTTTATTTAACATTAAATTCTGTGTCATCATTGACATATTGATAATTTTCATCGATGAAATGTCTGTAATTTTGCATGCATTTTGTTGCTATTTTGTATGTGTTGATATTGATAATATATGCCATAATAAAGCACTTATTATGGAAAATAAATATGTTTATCTAAGGGGTGTCCGTTCTTCTATATCATTAAGAGCGTGTAAATAACATATTCACGAAGTGAAACATTTTCACGAAGAGAAACATACTCGAGAAGAGAAACATACTCGAGAAGAGAAACATATTCACGAAGGGAAACATATTCACGAAGAGAATCATATTCACGAAGAGAAACATATTCACGAAGAGAAACATTTTCACGAAGAGAAACATACTCGAGAAGAGAAATATATTCACGAAGAGAAACATATTCACGAAGAGAAACATACACGAGAAGAGAAACATATTCACGAAGAGAAACATTCACGAAAAGAGAAACATATTCACGAAGAGAAACATATTCACGAAGAGAAACATTTTCACGAAGAGAAACATATTCACGAAGAGAAACATATTCACGAAGAGAAACATATTCACGAAGAGAAACATACACGAAAAGGGAAACATATTCACGAAGAGAAACATATTCACGAAGAGAAACATTTTCACGAAGAGAAACATACACGAAAAGAGAAACATATTCACGAAGAGAAACATACACGAAAAGAGAAACATATTGACAAAGAGAAACATATTCACGAAGAGAAACATATTCACGAAGAGAAACATAATCACGAAGAGAAACATATTCACGAAGAGAAACATATTCACAAAGAGAAACATATTTACGAAGAGAAACATTTTCACGAAGAGAAACATACTCGAGAAGAGAAACATATTCACGAAGAGAAACATATTCACGAAGAGAAACATATTCACGAAGAGAAACATATTCACGAAGAGAAACATACACGAAAAGAAAAACATATTCACAGAAAGGAAGATGATAGTGACGATATCTTATAGTCATATTGCATTACTAAGTACGGAATACAACGTTAAAAGCATTTAACCGTGTACGCATATTCAATGAGCGACCATGGGTTAAAATGTGTACATGTATATAGATTGTACTGATCATTGAATGATCGATTTCGCAATACTAAGGAAAACTTGCAGTCATATTCCTTAATACAGGTGTATAAACAAACACAGTCAACAAAAGCTACATTTCAATCATATGTTTTTTTCTACGTTTAACCATTTTATTTATTAAAATCTACCAGCAAATATTGTATGCTCAAAGTCTCGATAAAAGGTACTCATCTTGGTATTTGTCCAATGACTATGCTATAGAGTATTTTTAACACATACCGTCATCTCTAAAAAAAAACGTTTGTGTTGATTGAAGGGCGAATGACCAATAGTTCACCTTCGGATCGCATCAATGGTAAAATTTTTAATTAACTTAACTCATAATGCGGGTTATTTCGCCAAGGGTTTTACTTTTTGAATTTACCTTGTGTGGCAGAAGTTTTACCAGGGATTTGATGGTTCCAAAGTACCCGTTATTTCTTTGTGGTGAGCGGCCAAGGTTACAAATGACTTGTTTGAATGTGTTCTTTTTTCAGATATTATACACAAATCTGCACAAAAGTAGTATTCAACAAGAGCTTTCCGTAATGCAGCGCGCCGAACTATTATAAATATCTGCCTGGAAGTGGGGATGATTGTCATCAACACGTACACACAATTTCAAAGCAATATCTCAAAGGGTTAAGAATAAAAATTGGATGGTACGAACAACGTAACCAAAATTCTAGATAAAAGGGGTATTTTGTTTTTTTGTCATCTTGTCTGGAATTGGCGATGATAGTAACAAACTAGTATACAATGTTTCAAACCAATACCTAAAAGGGTATACGGAAAAAAAACCGGGTGTAATATCAAACTTAACTGCAAATCTAAGGAAAAATGGGGTATAATTTTGTCAAACTCCATCCTTCCTTTAGCATTTTTAGTTTACTTTGATGAAACCTGCACAAATCTTACGTGATCAAGAATAAGAATAAACAAGGAACAAACAAAGGTTTATTTTATTTTCAAAAGAAACAGTGTTAAAGGTCCACACTATTTAAATAAAGATGTTCTAGTTTAATACAAAGTGTATTTACTACTGTACAGTATTTAAAATGATTATGATTTAAATATTTGTGCGCAGTACCACAATCAGTGTCGTCCGCTAAAGGTGGAAATAGAAAATGGCGAAAGTAACCATTTTCAGATGCATCCTCCTTGTTACATTTCTACCCTTAAGGTAAGATTTTAATTTCCGTTTTGCTTCTTGAAAATGATAACATTTCCTTGTGAAAAAAGGATTAAACAGAAATATGAGAATGTCTGATTATGGAGTGGACGATTCTTTGTCAGACACTTAGTTTCGATAGTTACTTTTTTTTTCAAAAAACATTTTAGATTTTTAAAAGGATCATGAAAATATTATGATAGCAATACACACAAAATCAGAAACTATTCACATTAATATTGCATGTTGGCATGAGCAAAACACAGCATCTTCGTAGCGGTTCATACTAAAATGAAACTACTTATATACGTATTTATTTGAAATGAGTAATAAGGGTTTTGCTTGCTACCAGTGCCAATATGTTGAAACGCTGTAATGAGAATTTTAATCATTTACACAGTTTTTCTAAATTTGCCGTAAAGGAAAAAATCAGCTTAAAATAAACGTAGAAATGTAGCATTAACAATGAACATAATACATTATCTATCGCATTGACACCGTTTAGCTGTGATCAATTATACGGTTTAAGTAAAGTATTCTGGACAAATTGTTTGTGATGGAGGCATAATCGAAGAGAACAATATCTGTCTGTGCAACTACTCTATACAGAAATTTGATGACGTCACCGATCGTTTTATTGTTACCTATATTTGCAATGCCTTTTTATATGCAAATTTCTGTCAGTGGGAAAAGAAACCATTTATAAGAAAATAAGGCGTAGAACTACTTTTTAGGAGCATGTTAATTGAATGCTCTTATCTACTCTGTAATTTGCTAGACTAAAATAGTATTTTCGTTGTTAAATTTCCAAGCTCTGAACAATACTACATGGATAGAAGTTGACGTCATCAGAATTGTTTTATGCTCATTATTTATGAAGAATTAGTGCTCTCGAAATATCATTTGAAGTGATCAGTGACATTTTTAAGTTATTACGTAAATTAGATGTGTATGCTTTTTATGAAAAAACAAAGAAAAAACAAAACAAAACAAAAAACGTGCAAGTTTTGCATATCTTATGTCAGATACATGCATATAAACGTCAACAAATTACACGTGAATCACTTAATTTTTTTGCGCTCTTTCTTTGACGTCTAATGCTAAAACAAAAATGTTCATCTACTACTGAAAACCTTAATAACCTAATATTAAAGGACATATATTTCTGTCTTTCCTGTAAATTAGATAGCTTTGTCTCATGTTAAAAGCCGAAATAGCGCTATATTGTAACATATTTTCCTTTAAGTTATTTTTATCAAGTTCTATACGTCAAAAAAGAAAGTATCGTTGATTAAAAAATAAAACAATAAATTGTATATCTTTCTTAAGGATTTTTCATGACATGGTAACATATATATTTACCGACTTCGACACTGAGTTTGTGTGTCCTTGTATATGGACGTGAAAAATAAATAAATAAATAGATTAATAAACACACGACAACATTGTTATATAAGGAAATTTTAAGTGTATTTTCTTCCTTGTCCTTGTTTACGTACAATACAGCTTTTAAATTGTAAAGCAGGGTCGAGGCTTGAAACTGGAAACAAAGACACTTACGCAAATAGACATATATTTTGACAATACAATGTACAATTTTGACAGTAAAAAAAAAGAATAATGTTTTCTTTACAAAAGTAAGAAAGCAGCAATTGTTTGAGATAAGAGTAAGATAAAATAAAGAAGAGCAATGTAGATAAATATGAGCATTTAATTTCATTATCATCGTGACATTCACATGATTATAACTATAAACAAATTTAAATATTTATTTGAAAAAGCAAGGCTCCGTCCATTGAGCCTTTCAAATACCATTTGTTACAAAAGTACAAATAATATTGTCTCAGTTCTGTTTTAAAAGATATTTTTAACATGGTGAAATTAGAATTGTGTGAAATAAACATTTACACTAACGAAACTAAAAGAAAATAAAATAAACGTCCAATTTATCAAATTAAGTAATAAACCTACCGAATTGACTAATTGCAACTTCTTTGAAAATTTTTCGGTTTTCCTCTTGCATGTATGACTTTATGAATATAGTTCTAGTGACGTAGCCTATTCACTAGATGTAATGGGGACTGTCATGCATTTCCAGGATCCCACTACATAGGAGACGGGAGCATCTACATTTTCCCTAGTCCGTCCATCCGTCACGCTGTCCGTCCGTTGTAACTAAACAGACGAATGACGAATTCCTAGTCATTCTAAATACCTAATATATATTAAGAAATTTAATGCACATAATACGAGGGCGCATTTTAGCTACAGCCCACAAGGCGAGGTATTTTGAGGGCTTATCCAGATGTTAATGCACGAAAAGAGGTGCATAAGTCTTGCATAAAAGTAACGTTCAATGAAATTGAAATCGTGAATTCGTGAAGTTGTAATAGTGAATGCATTAAGATGAAATCGTGAATTCATGAAGTTGAAATATTGAATTCGTGACGTTGAAATCGTGAATTCGTGAAATTGATATCGGAAATTCGTGGAGATGATATCGGGAATTCATGAAGTTGAAATGTCCCTACCGGTCTTAATAGTATTCCCTCTGTTAATGTATACCTGCCAGCGTATTTTGTATGCATGACTGATTGTTACACGGTTGACACATACATGTAATTATGACATCGATATTTTTGATGTTTGCCATTTTGGCCCACTAGTAAATGATAATACTTTTATTTCTGTTATTAACCACACTTATGTTTACTTCTACAATTAAAACTTCGTTTCCAATTTTGGGAAATTCGTGTTAATGCCTTTAAAGTTTGAAAGCAAGTTAGATACTTATTACCTCCATAAATTAACACTGAATGTGACATTATTTGTCATGGAGGTAGCAAAATGTAAACCAAGTAGTATTTTGACTTCCATACCAAATACTAAAGGACTTTAAATGGTATGACTCCCAGGAAGCAAAGAAACAAACTATGATTCAGGTAACTGACTAATTATAATGAGTAAATTTTGAGAATTGTAAACAAAACACTAAATATAAAAACATTTGAGAAAAAAAGCATTTCTGGGGCATAGCGTGCCTTTAGATGAGTCAAGTATGATAAAAACAATTGTAACAAAACACGATCATATTCGAAGTATTTGTTTAAAACATTTTAAATAATTACTTATCATTATAACCATTCTCAGCGTTTTTTTTTATAAATATTTATTTTGATTATTGTCTTGTAAACATTTGTTGACATGTAAGCCTTATTGTATTGAAATGAAAATGTCTGTAAATGTTTATTTTTAGTGTTTCGGGTTCACCGTATCTTTTACCAAGCATAGTTGCGTAAGTATTACATGTAATATGTTCGCTTGATTTGGCAATTATATTGTACCATTTTCCTTGTATAATCATTTAACATGCATTCTGTTATTATGCAAAAGATAACTACCTGTCAACATGAACAGTAACCTTTTTGTAAGGAATGGGAATTATCTTCATTTATAAGAAATGCGATTTTCTTCAATTTTTCAAAATCAAACTTTTCCACCATACGCAGAATGGGAGATTTCACACAAGGGTGGATTTCCCTCGCAACGATGGAGGTTTTTAACACATTAATTTTGAAGTTTATATCTATTGATAATGTTTTCTTTTCAGTCCTAAAACAAAAATCTAAACCATTAAATGCAACAAATAAATTGATGAACATGAATTAAGTACTCTAAATGCAGGTATAAAATATTCTTCATTGATTATCATTTATCATATATTTTAGGTTATTGGCCTCACGAAGCTGTTATAGATACAAAGAAGGGTCGTACTATACGTGCACTGGTATTTTTCGGTGGGTATGTTCAAACAGGTTAGTACACAACGCATTTTATTCTGATGTCGGTAAGAGAAAAATGTTTATTTAAACGCACGCACAGACACGCGCACACGCGCATAGGAACATAAGCTAAAATGAAATTAGTTTTGATGTTTCATATAATGTTTGGCGAGATCTAAAACGTGTAATTTGCTTTTCTATGTGATTTTACACTTAAGTGACATGTACAGAATCAAATCAGTAATTTAACATGCAATGTATGTTTTGTATATAATACTTCAGTTTTGCATGTAGGTTTCTATGATTAAGAGAGATAAGAACATCATTTTTTATAGGAAAATACGGCAAAAGATTTGTTGCGATGGGTACTCAGGATCGACATGCTCTGAACGTATGTTTCTTTTTTTGAAAACTATATATTGGTAGTTGCTATATCAAAGAAAGTACTATTCAAAACCTGTTTATCGTCATTTAGAAATACAAACTATTAAATAAAGGTTTCTGCATTTAAGAAATGGTCCACAATGTTACATTTAAACTGAATGAAAAAAAAAAAGAAATCAAATACCAACGCTTAATTTTCACGTTGTAATTTAAAGTAGAATATGTTGACTATATTAAATGAAAATAATATATATTGCATCTGGAAAATGATAACTGATGCAGTAACTGTAACATCAGCTTAAACAATATTATAATTATTAATGTTACCGTAAAGAATGTTTCATTTTTTTATTATAATTTTTACTAAAAAAATTCATCAAAATGTTTAATATACCAATTAAAGGTAGCAAAAGTACGGAGCCCTTTTAAGACGACATTTTCTACACCCCCGAGACTTAATTCGTTTATACGACATATTAATTCGTTTTTACGAAACATTAATTCCTTTTTACGAAATATTAATTCGTAATCACGAAATAAAAATTTCGTAATTACGAAATATTTATTCGGTTTTACGAAATATGAATTCGTTTTTACGAAATATTATTTCGTAATTACGAAATATTTATTCATAAAAACGCAATGTAATAAATATTATTCTTTTTCTACGAAATATTGTTTTGTAATAACGAAATATTAATTCGCTTATACGATATATTATTTCGTTATTACGAAATATCAATTCGTTTTTATGAAATATTATTACGAATTAATAGTTTGTTTTTACCTTATAAATCCTGTGCTTCAACGGAATCAAAATATTCACAATAGCCTCTTTCTTTTCGCCTCAGTGACTTGATACCTATGACATTTACTATTTTTATAGTTAGCGCTTTTAAGATCGCACATAAATTTAGAGGAAATATATTGTAAGTGAAAATCTGGAAGCCAGTCCCTTTAACTTTTACTAATGTGTATGATAAAAGAAAGTTTTACTATTATAGTCATATGTTTTTTGGAGAAAAAAAAAAAAAAACACGTCAGAAAATATTGATTGCCTCAGAAATTAAAACATTTTGATTTTTTGCCAGCTGTTGGAAAAGAGGATGTTTTGGATTGAAAATGACTTCTCATTCAAAAACCCTAATCACTCCAATATAATAACTTGAGAGCCATTAGACTTATAATCGTTATATTTGATGGCAATGCTGATCCAGACTTGTAAATGACCACTTTTGATTGTGATGTTATGTCAATCTCACAATGACCTTCAATTAAACACTATGTCATTACTGAATGAATGTATCGTGACTGTTCATGGTATCTAGAAAACGAATCAATATTTCGTAAAAACCAATTATTATTTCGTAATTACGAATTACTATTTCGTTAAAACGATTTAATATTTCGTGAAAACGAATTAATACTTCGTAATAACGAATCAATATTACGTGCATGCGATTCCCAAACACAATTAGGTAGGATTGTAAGATGAGATTGCGTTGTATCAAATATTAGAAATGCATATTACATACAAAACATGTTTCGGTTACAAATATATACATAAAATTGAAATGACGTCATCCTGAGCGCACAATTTTATTTAGAATTATCGCCGGAATGCGATTTGTCTTTCAATGGGGTTGGGACGGGAAGGGGTAAATAGGGCTGGTGTACGGCAAAATGCAAGAAAGGCGCTATAAGATGACGTCGATTCGGGCGTTTAAAAATGCGGATAACGATGACATAATTCCGTCGTTACGATTTAAATTACTATGCTATTATAAGAGGAAAGAAACGGATGAGTTGACATTAATATCCAAGAAAAATTGATGAATTGAGGAAAACATCTTTCAAACATGGCACAATATGCAAGAACAAATATCTGACATGTGTTTGCCATTTAGATCAGAATATGTAGCTGTCCTTCTAGTAGCCCGCCAATATGACAGATATTCAAAAACACTAAGTAAATTGTAACAAAATACAGTTGGAAACCTGATCATCTATTCTACAAAAAAGATACATAGGGAATTGCAATCTAAACAATCAGTTAATATATGTTGATATTTATAATTTCCAATTATACTGATGTGTTTATTTGCACTATTTCATTACATATCAACAAGCAGTTTACATTTATATAGTAGTGATACTTCATTTGAGACCTTTATTTGAGACCTTTCTCAAATTAGATATTTTTCGGCAGCGTCCTTTTTGTTGTCTTAAATATTTTACAGCAAAATGCTATAAGGGATATGGTGCAAACACTTGCAGTATACATTATAGTGGATATGTTAAACATAAAGACGGTACAGTAGTACGTAGTAGCGGGGGGAGATGTGTCAGACCATCTACATGTGTCAACTGTAATAAAGGGTACTACCCCGTGAAATCGTCTGGCGGATATTGCACAGGTTTTGCAATCAAATTGTTTTTTTTTTAAATAATTTAAACAAGAAACTATAAAGCTTAAGATAGACAAATATGCTTCTTAACTTTTGCCATCCCCGGGAGATGCTTTGGTAGTTTAGCACGGATGAGGGTAGTCTAGTGCTGGTGAACCTCTCCAGGAACGATGGTTAGGAAACTACCCGCCTATATGACTGAAATACTGTTGGAAAAAGGCGTAAAATAAAACAAACAAACAAACAAAACTTTTGCCATTTTAGTAAACAAAATGTTGTTTATGCGTCATACATATTTAAGAAAAAAGGCAGCTAATAACAATTATATTGTGAAGGATAATAAACGTAAATATATTTTTTAACTCCAAATTAATTTCTATATTAAAATAATGATTGTTTATACAAAACAGCATGCTATCGCCCAAATAGTTGCAACCTCCCAGTATGCTCAACAAGCAGCGATTATGTCTGTGAATATTGTGTCGGAGAATATAACAGAGAAAAACCTGGCTACAATGTTTATACCGGCCAACCAGATGATACGAAATGTCAAAGTAAGTAACGTCAATAAATATGTGTAAAGTATGTTACATGAATAATTGACAAAATATATCAAACATAACAACTAAATGTAAACTGAGTGTGAATTGAGAAGTCTCTAAATGTGTCATCAACAAGATTTTATGTAATAAAAGCCTCATATATATTCTAATACTGTTAAATTTAATAAGATTATCCCTAAAGTTGAATTATTATAAGTTTTTTATTTGCAATAATTCACTTTTGGTGGTGTTTGAAAATAACTCACCTGAGGTCCAAAGGCCTAACATCATATAGTCGGAAATTCTTATATTAAATGAGGCATTTCAAATGAAAAATAGACAAAAAGTAAGTAAAGTAAGAAAAGTCATACTCAGAATTATATTGAAATACTATTTATGTGCAATTCTTAGCCTGATTAAAAGCGTTTATAAGTATATACTTTTTCATTTCGGTTGTTTTGCACATTTAAAATGACTTTTCTGGAAAATCGGTTATATAACGAATAAATTTTACACAAGTCAAGACATACATAAAATGTACAAAATGACGAAAACAAATAGCTCCAATACCCCTATGTCAAAACTAAGAGTATTCCATTTAAGGAACACCGATACTATTATTATCATTATTAAGGCATTTTTCCAGCTTTAGTGGTAAAGGAAAGCCTCTGATGCACTCCGTGCATAATTTCAGACACGGAAGGTCATAAGTTAGCCCGAACATAAAAGAACTCATGATCCTTGGCGGCATGTGTGACCATATCGATGCGAGTGGGTCATTGGTCCAAAATAAGGGCCTTAAACTACTCGCTCACGTTTTCAACAGTCAATAGAAAAACATCTGGAAACAAAATGCTCCCTCGGAAACATTAATCACAATAAAATTACAAGAGCATCGCAGACTCGGTTTGATTGAGTCTGTACACGAGGGATAATGAATACGTGCAACATCCCTCACGCCCCTAGCACCAGCTTGAGCGGTACTCAATTCTCAACACTTAATAGTGCTGGCATCAATGATCCCGAAGGACCAGAAAAATATAAAAACACTGAAGGTACCTTCTCTTCAAATCCAGGACATATTTACGTACACAATCCTTTACGAGTTTTAGGGTTTAAATCAAACAAAAATAATTGTTATTTTCTAGGGGCCTGCTCGTGGGAGAAAGGTGCAAGGTGCTTTCCAGGCACATGTGTTGCTAATATGACTTTGGAAACAGACTGCCAATGTGCTCAAGGTTTTGGAGACAAATTAAATGACTGTGCAACAGGTATGCATTTGTAAACAAAATTATAAATACAACTAAATCATTATACTTATACTTGTTTTGGTTGTATATATTAGTTTAAATGATGTTCGTAATAATAAATTCACAATACTATCTGTCACGAACTTCTATATTAATAGATGTCCTACAATGAATAAATCACTTAATGCCTAAATGCATTTTTTTGTTTTCCAGCAACTACGGAAAAGTTACCAACCATAAAGAAAATGCATTATAATTTATCAGGCCAATCAATTAATACACAATCGATTATCCTCGATAAGACACTGGGAATAAAATTATTTTGGACAAAAAACACTAATTTGACGAAAGTTTCATTTCAAGTCTTGGCGTATTATAAGGCCGAAATTGACACGAAAAATATGCCAAATTACATTACAAGCTATCATATTGGAATAGAAGAACTTCAGATTGTGTCAACATTAACAAGGGGTAAGTGCAAGTGCTTTAAATTTGATATACAGATGTACTTTGATTTTCATTCAGCAACGTTTTAAATCATGACACCACAGTTCGTTATAAATAATTACTACACATTTATCTGTATATTATTCTAATAAAATACAAAGAAGTCCTTAACATAGAGTGCAAAGCTTTACGTCTTGTGTTTTGAAACATATGCTGGTAGCCTCAATTCCACTTCCGCCACTACATCTAAAAGCTATTCGAAGTACTTTAGACACACATTCACTGTACTGTATCATATAAATATTAGCAAATAAAAACAAATATGTTTTTGTGGTTTTATTTGGTAGGACCAACAGAGTAAAGTAATTGATACTTCCCATGATAAATCATTACTTACTTTTAATTCTATTTTGCATTTTGCTGGATATATTGTATTGAAATAGAAAGTAAAGATTGCGATAGTGTCGTTCCTTATTCTCTTTTATTTATCTAGCTTAATTTGCTTTTCTAACTACAACTATAAGTTCCGATCCTGTGCATTATATGGCCAGTCAATTAGTCAAGAAGTGTAATTAGACAGGACATGTATGTAATGTCTCGAATCCTTGTATTAACAGACCACTCGGAATTTACATAGGCGCGGTGGAAATGTTTTCCGCAGTCGAGTATCTTTTTCAACATACAGTATCATTTTGAGAAACTGCGTGATATTATCATGCAGTAGTTTATTGAGTTTATCAATTAAGTAAGTAATTGCATCATTTAAAGTGCTTTCGAAAGGTTTAGTGCACAATAAGTCGTTTGTGTTACTACGTATCGTTTTGCAACAAACATCTATAACGTAGATAGAACACAGTTGCATGATCGACTAATATTATCATTTGAATGTTCAGGTTCAGATAGAGCAGTGTGGACACTGGACGCTGGTTGTAAAAACTTTGATGAAAATTGTGAGGTTAACTTTAAAGATCAGGAGATTAGTGATATTAACGAATGGAAAACCACATTAGACAATGGTACATTCACACACAGAGACAGGTGTGTTTAACTTATTACTATTCATTACCTATGTGTAAGCATCACAGAGAGATATTATATCTGCAATGATTGGTTAAGTGACTGAAGTATCAAGCTTTATAATTATAGTACAGACATGTCATGTTTATTTAAGGAATTCTCGTTTTGTCAACACAAATAGAATAATTTTCAAAGGTATTATTATTTATTTGACATATCCTTTGCATTTGAGCAAAGTGTATATTGTAAATATCATTGAAAATGTAACGCGTTTGATATCATGATAAATGTATATGTCCTTTCAGAATTTGCTTTGCTGTATCTGCCAAAAATGGCGGGAAAGTGATATATGAAAATAGAAGTTCGTTTAATGCCCCGTATCAAGAAGGACATTATTCTCTAAACGGAATATCGACATCTGAAATTCTTGTTCTTGTTTTTGATGAAGAACTACCATTTCATTGCCTTGAATACAGTAATAACTGCTCTACGGATGCACTAAAAGCTGATGATTTTGTTACAGAGGTGTCAAAATTTTTAACAAGTATTTTCTAAAAGAAACGTCACTTCAAAGTTTCTTTAGTATATTTAGTGAATTTAGGAAATGTCAAAGTTGTAAACATATTTCATTATTGATATATGTAACATAATATTTTGATATCATCGAATAAATGTGATTCACAACCTTCAAAGGCTGACATGATATAATTTTGACATAAACCGCAGCTTACGGCTGCCAAGAAAAATGTGTAATAATAGCTTTTATCAAAATATATCGAGGTAAACGTCGGTGCAATTATTTACGAACACACATAATATAAAAACATAATAATCATGGAATTATAAGGGTTGTGTTTTGCCAGCTAGGTTTCTATTTGATCCGATCGATCCACAATTTAGGCCTGACGATTCGCGAATAGTACCGGAATCATCTTATTGTTCTCATACTAAAATAACAATGTAATTTAATAAAATAATAATTTAGATAACATTTAGATTACATATAAAGAATTAATTCTAAATATTTCTGATAACAGCAATTTATGATGGAAGTTTAGCTGAAATGTATCATTTGTCATGTAAGAATGTATACAGATTAATGTATGTATGTTTTTATTTTTTTCCAGCAAAATGTGACAGTTTATTGGTCAGGATGGTACGATACAGATTCCAAAATTCACAAATTCGAATTTAATATCTACTATCTAGAATCAACAGAAAACGGTCCTCTTAAGTATCGACATATGCTACCAGCAAAACTCATTGGCGCTGATCAGGTCTGTATGAATGTGGTCATTACATGTTTTCTAAGAGCTTGCTCCTTCAGTTGTTATCTAGTATAGTTTCCCAACAAAGCGCTTACAACGATAATGCTTGATTATAAAATACATTTATTCCTAAAATTTCAAATAATTTCTATCCTATATAACAATTCAATTTCATTAATTTAATTCTGTGAAACACAGTTCAAGCAAAAATATTTAAACGCCAGATTCTACAATGTATCTATTTATGGTATGGCAAACATGTCAATAAGTAGTTCATTAAAAAATATATTTTCAAAAACATTGTAAAATAGATCACCTAGACACCTTGCTTTGTAGAATTCGGCTGAATTGAAATTGGAAGAACCAGGACCATATTCCATAGAAATGATTGTGCATGACCGTGCAAATAATATCAAAGTTGCAAGAAGAATTATCATGTATGATAATGCATCAGTTGTTGAACTTGTTGACAAAAAAAGTTGCAGAATTATTCAAGTTCCTCATGATAACGGGTGGATTAATAAAGTCAGCGACCAAATAGTTGTTGTCTGGACTGGACGATTCCGTAACTTAAGGCATTATAAAAAAGGATGGCTGAACGAAGTTCAAGATTCGGAAAACGTCACCAGTGTCCTTGATGATTTAAAAGAAAGATCAAATAGAACCATAGACAAAGTACCAAATCTTTACGGTGAATAGTTAATGTACCTTTTTGACAAACCAACCTAAATTAAAATACAATAAATGAAGACATTTTTATTGATAATGTAATGTTAATTTGAATACAATTCTGATTGTCTTTGTATCACTTGCATTTAAAATCATTATTGATAATTTTGTCTATTAATAGGAATTGTACGATTTGAAATTGCAAGCACAATAGAGTTATCTGGCACGGTAGACTACAACATGTTTCAACGTGTTCCTGAGGAATATTTTTTAATGGAGAAAATGGTTTACAGTGATATGCATTTCGTTGATGGCAAGAGGGTGACGTACACTATTCGAGGAGTGGACGTATTTGGAGAATTTGCAGAAGATCAAACTTCATTCATGATAGATCTTTCTCCGCCTGTTATAGAAAATATGTGGCTACGAAAGGGGAATATTGTCAATATCAGCATGCATAACACGCTTGATCTGTCTCAGCTTATGTAAATGCTTAGTTATTCTTTGATTCAATAAATCAACTAAATTTCCATAAAACATTTATTAGCAGCAGCAAACAGTATGATATTAGCTTTGTTTTGACGATTTGTACAAGTTAATGTACAGATAAAATTATCTTTTAGATAATAGAAATAAATGTTAAAGATTAAATTTCTTTGACTAATCGGTTAATTATACATGTAATTATTATTTCGAAGACTGGTTCAGTTTATTTAATAAATAAAATACACAAACGCAGACAGTAAATATAAGAATGGTGGTATAATAGGTAAACATTTATAGGTAGCTATGTCAGAGTACATCTTATTAATTAATTTAAGGATTGAATGGGAAACTCTTGATCTACATAGCGGAATAAGCGAAGTGTCTTGGAAAATATTTGAAAATATGACAAGTCATGATGTCATTTATAAGCAATCGTACGAACAGCCGCACGGTAAAGCAAAGGTAATTCATTTATTTATTTTATTTATACAAATCTCTGCATGGTAACATGTATTTATCAGATACACTTATGATTAGTACAATAGAACAATTCTCGTAAATATAATTGAATTGAAAATGTAATGTACAAATGTTTTAACAAAAAGTATAAAAAGTATCAACAGTTTTAGTACTTAAAATACAATCTAGGGTACAAATACTCTTTAAAAAAATAAAACAATTATGATGATTAACCTCTGCTTTTTCATGTTAATATATAAACAGGTCTTTTACTTCAAAGAAGTACACTCAGTCCTATTTTTACAGACTTTAATCGAATGTAGGCGAAAATACAGATTTCATGCAGGAGGACCTAATTGTTACTGTACGCCATATAACGGATGTTTTAACAAACATTTTCAAGTTATTCCACCAAAACCAAGATTGCTTAAAGATGTAGTTTTCAACAAAGTAGTTGGAAAGCATGACAAAGACTACTTTATAGAAGTTACTGCCAAGAACAATGCTGGACTTGTATCGGTTCTACAAAAAAGGGTATATAAATGACGGAATAATCTTGTACACTCATATGTGTACTATGTATGATGTTTAAGTAATATTATAATATTTTTTTCCAAATTATCTTTAGCTTATTAAGCCAGAGTCAATAAACGGTTAAGTATTAAAGAAAAGGGCTTGATGCCCAAGTCTTTAAGTCATACGTTGGCATTCTATTAAAGGTTTCTCTAGCAAACCATGTGAGTGCTTACCAGTCTTCAAATAATAATATTTAGAAAGTTAAACATTACCCAGATGTTTTTGTCTATCAATTAATATTGAAGGACAAACTGGAAGTTACAGCAACATTAAGTTTAAGATGTAGAGCCGTTTAAATGTGAAGGTAACGCTTAATCTATATGCTTGGTATTCTGTAATTGCAACAATGTGCTTGACACATGGTAGTTATCTAAGACACTTAGACAATTTTAATTTTCAGATTACTATTGATATATCACCTCCATCAGAAGGACATGTGTATGATGGCAAACCTGGAGATCCCGAAATGGACTTTCAATCAACTTTACAACTAACCGGACATTGGAGCGGATTCTTTGATGTAGAAATTAGTATTTGGTTCTATACCTATGGTTTTAGCGAACGCTGCTTGAGAGAAGACGAACTTGACATACAAGCTCCCGGGAATTGGAGAGTACAAAATATTTTTTTTAATATACCTTAGTTTAGAGTATAGATATTTATGACATATAGATATTGACAATTAGCAAATGAATTTATATGAATTGCTTAAGTGAAACAAAATTGACCACAGCCTGCCTTCCTCCTAAGTTATTAAAGAAACAATATTAACACATTACATAATTGAATAGGATATTGTACAGTCTTACTTGAAATTTATATTTAATTTAACATTTAATATTTTTTGGACTGACGTTGATTTTGATTGACTATGTCGTTACATATGTCATATAAAAAAATCAGTTAGGGAACTGTCAAGTTAATATATAATTGAATGTAATATCGAAAGGTACAATGGACATATAATAATTGGGCGAAGTCGGAAGCACCTGGACATGGTAAATATTATATCACAGTGAGCGCATATAACTACGCCATGGGGCAGAGCAGGCCAGTTTGCTCAAATGGTGTAACCATTGATACAACACCTGCATTGATATCAGAAATCGTAGTCGAAAACGCAGTGATTGCAAGCCGTCTTTTAAAAGATATTGACACAGAAAAGGTGTATTTTCTGAACAGAAATAGAGAGCTTAAAGAAGTAAGGGAATCAATCGAAGCATGCAGGTATTGTATATTTGATATGTGTCCTTAGGGCATCTTAAAGATCTTCAAGTAATGGTCATACATATTTACAGTTTGATAAAATGTTGAACATTCGTTATTTGTAAAATTAATGCATTTATAAATATAACTTCACCAAGAACAAGGAAATATCTTTAAAACCCCTTTTTGTTTAATTTTTTAAATGAATAGAAACCTGGCATTGTCCGTGCCTCACAAGACGATAGTCCTCATACCTCACAAAAGGCGCCCTGATGGAACTAAGGCAATATTAACAGTTCACTCGGACTGTAATAACTTGCAGAAAGCAGGATCAGATCTGATATCATATCTGACTACTGACTCTTCGGTAAAACATTTACATTTTCTATTTTCAGTGAATCTGTTTTTATATATAATCCTAAAATAATAGCGAAAATATTTACTTATCATGCTATGTCATACGTACCAGCAATAATGTGAGTTAAACATATGTCCAAAACCCTTATAAAAATTATAAAATAGTTTTATGAAAGATCTACGTGTATTTTATTTTAGCTTGCCTGAGCATCGTGCTCATAGCGAGATTTTGTGACCTCCTCCCTCCGTCGTCGTGTGTCGTCAACAATTTCTTACGAAACCCCAAGCTGGTTCAAATTATAGCACTTGGGTAAAATTTTGCGACTGTCTAAAAGGAAGGGTAGGGGGGTGGGGGTGGTAATACATTTTTCTCATAAACATATAGTCAAAAATTCTCTGAAACGACAGAGGCCAAAGCCGAAAAATGTGGCATGAAACATCGTCTAGAGGACCTCTATCAAAGTCGTTCAAAATATCAGTTACATTCGTCTTGGATATGTGCTTGCCTGAATATTGACATAATGACCTCTTTTCGTGTCATTTGATCTACAGTTATGATGTATGGACCATTTATACAGATATTAAATTTAACTTTGATATCAGATAACCTACATTTTGATCGAGTGACCAACTTTTTAAAATTTTAACGTAATTGTATGAACTTTTGACCAAACACACAGATTCTGGTGTAAAATTTCAACCTAAAACCAAAGGACCTAAAATTGACCTAGTGACTTTGATGTCTGTGAACAACTATACAATTTGAACCAAGTGCTTATTTTGACATGTACAACTGAAATTTTGTAGCAGCTGACCTAGTTGCTATGAATATTAGACCATGTACAGTTGTAGAACTGAAATCTTATATAAGATGACCTTAATAGTGACCTTACTTTATCTTTCGTGGTGTACAGCTATGAAATTTTCAAACTAAAAAATAAAAATGTAATTTGCATGAAGTCAAGTGAGCAACATCTTCAAATTCTTGTTATAAACAATATCTTTCACTGCTTTTACAAAATAACAGTCTGTCCTCAGACAAGCGCTTTTGGACCAATGGTCCACGTATAAAAATTATGAACTTTTATTTAAATTACCCATTAAACGTTTAAAAGGAATAGGATCCCAGACATGCACATTTTCAAATCAATTACCTGAATATTGCGATTAGGATAAACGCCAAAGCAAGCTACGTATTGTTAAATATCCCTCCTAACCACAAGCATTTGCTTAACATACCTGATTTTATCAAGATATTGAACTGACCGCATAAATGTATCGGTTGATTTATTTTTTGATAAAATGGAGATAATTTTAAATTTGCATTGCATTATTAAAACAATATAATAAAAGTGCAGTTTACTTACCATTAACTATTTATGAATTAATATACATGCAGAACAGTTTTTACATGTTAAGGAATTGATTAAAATCGAAATCATTTGTAGCTAAAGATTTCATGGAATGTTACATACGGTGCCGGTGGGGTACACAGTTATGAAGTTGGAATTGCGTCTGAATATTCGATACTTCCAGATGTTATGGAATTTACATCATCAAACAATCAGCAGCAAATTAGTTTGACTGACAGTGCTATTTTCAACCGGACATCATTTTACGTTGTTATTAAGACTGTTACAAAAACTTCAATCACTAACAAACAGGTATTTCCTCAAAGCATTTTATAACTTATCTAATTCTTGATATAGTGGGGCGGGAAATTGAGAAAATAATGCAAATCGTGATACAAGCATGAAACGTTCATGAAATCATCTTTAGACCCAGTAGATTTCAAAAATGAAGTGGGCCTAAAAATATCTCTGCTCATTCAAGATGGCCGCCATTTTCAAAATGGCCGCCATATACATTTGACGTGCATACTAGCTCATTCATTTCATTTTTTGTACACACCTGAAACTAACACCAAAAGCATGCATATAGTTTCTCCTTTTCAAAAAATATAAATCTTACAAATTTTCTCTTTCAACCCTCTTCCAAATCCAAGATGGCGTCCAATATGGCTCGATTTTGTGCAAAACTGTTATATCATTTTTATAGTATAATTTGTTGCACAAATTATGTTTATTATGATATAAAAGTGTTTTAACATATCAGAGATAATCAAATTATTTGTTAATCACAATAAAAGTAAATATTTTAAAAGTTTTTAAAATATCTTTAAAAAGATCAAGATTTTTTTTTCAATTTTTGCATATTTTTCAAATTTGATTTTCTAAATCAATGTGCAAAGTTAAAAAAAAGTTACTTTTTGTCTTAAACTGTATTTGACATTCCATTTATATCATGTGTTAATTGTAAAAATGTGAAAAAAACATTAAATCTGAAGTTTTTATATTTTGTGAATGTGGGTGGGGTAATTTTATACGATAATTGTAATAGACAAAACAACAGAAATTATACATAGTTATATTCATTCTATTTGTATCCGGTTGCACTTAAAGAAACATGCCCAATATCTAGTTTCATTTTTTTTACACGAAATGACTTTGCTAACCATATTCATATATGAGTCCATATAAACTTAGCGACCTCTGGTGTTAGGGGTAAATTTTGACCATATTGTTCATGTTTTATCAAATATTTTTAGAGTATTATAACATTATGATGATCCATGATTAATGTCTATGCGTCAGGCACTTTAGGTTTAGATAAAACAGATTAACTGCAGTAGTCTTTGTAAATTAAGTGATACCGATTGCAAAACCATTTTAGATTGCAGTAGCATCATACAAGTTTATGCATTTTATATCATGCTTCATCCAAAATATCTCTTAGTTCAAGTCATTGTAGTTTAACACCAGATGTTTTTATGTGTTTTCTTATACAAGTTTATAAACCCAGGTGGCTCTATGAGCATGATTCATTTAATATTTTAATAAAGGCAGGGTGAGGCTACATGCTAAGTACCTGTGCTGTGTGCATTTAGATTTTTGAGAAGAAAAAATGTGCATGTATCCTAAATGTTCCAAAAATGTTAAATGTAACCTAAAAAGAGGTCTTCTTTACTTGGCAAGGTAGTATGTTGACTATCTAAGATCTAGGCATTGTAGTTTGTTTGTTTTTTTTGTTTTTTTTTAAATAACAACAATAAAAAAATTCAATATGATTCCCTACACAAGTCTTTAATAACTGTGTTCCTCATGAGGGCCTTTAAATCATGCTCCTGTAGCTTTCCCTGTCACTTAAATTATATTGACTTATAATGTTAAAATTCTTCTCCGAAACTATAGTGCACAGAGAAGAAAAATATCGTATAAAATTATATCATTTCATTGTGATGCTATATAAAGATTTTGAACTATTGGCATAGGGTCAAAATCACATAGTTTACATGGACTCTTATTTGAATATAGTTATATGAGGCTTTATGAGCCTTCTTGTGTCAAAAAGGTTCTGAGAGGCTAGTTATTGGGCGTTTTTCTTTTCAAATAGTTTATAAATCATGACTGTATTTGGTGAAAAAAGATACTCCTTTTTAAATATTTTTTTTAAAAATTTACCCGCTTTTTCTTTTATTAAAAAATTTTATAGCCCTTTTTCTAGGTTTATCTTTAGGTTAAGGGGGATCCTTTTTGGGGTTTTAAAACTATTTCTCTTTTGTTTAAATTGGGGGAAAATTAAAGTTTTTGCATAAAATTTAAAGGGGTTTTTATTTTTCCCAAATCAAAAAGCTTATGTTTTTGGGGGGGTCAAACGGTTTTATTAATTTTAATCTTTCACCACACAAAATTTTAATTATGTTTTGTTTATAAAAGCCCGCCTTTAATTTTTGTATTTTTTGAAAAATTGCCCAATGTTTTAAACAAAATTTTTAAAATAAGAAAGGGAAAAATTTACTTCTTCCAAATTTTTTAACCTTTGGTTTTCCCAAAAAAATGTCCCAAAAAAAATTATTTTTTTTGGAATTCATTCTATTACAAACTTTTAGCAAGACTAAATTGTGCAGGAAATAATTGTATTCATATATAGACAACATTTCTTTCAGGTCCGGGCATGATTTTATCTAACATACTGTTCGTTGATGAATATTCAGTCTTCTTTCTGTACAATTATCAAATTATATTAAGAATATTGAAACAACTTATATCATGCAAACACATTTTATAACTGAATGTAAACATATGATTGTATCTGCATGTATTGATATTTTAGCACACCCTCAAGTCCGTAACTTGGAAGACAAAATTACCTTAATACAATAAAGCACTTTTACAGTGAATATTTGCATAAGAATTCATTTAAAAAACGTTATTTTGTATTACAATTGCCGGATAAACATACCCCACCCACTTTGAATAAGTATAAAACTTTCACATTTTAGGTTTTTTTTTTTTACAATTATACAATAAAACATAGTGTTGATTGAATATCAAATACACTATAAGAAACTATGTAACTTTCGGAATTCTGTACAAAGACCTAGAAAATATGCAAAAAATGGCACTTTTTTCTTTGATATTTTTAAAGACTTTTTTGTACAAAAAACTAAAAACAATTGACTAACAATGTGCTTAACCTAAAATTTAATTTTTTTTTCTAATATGTTTCACAATTTTATATGGAAATAAGCATACTTTGTGCAAGTAATTACACTACAAAATATATTTATCAGTTTTGAATAAAATTGGCAGCCATATTGGACGCCATATTGGATTCTGAATAAGTATGCACTCAAAATAGCTTAAAAGTTAAAATTTTTGAAAAGGATAAACTATATGAATAATTTGGTGTAAGTTTCATGTCTGTACAAAAAATTGGAATGAATGAACTATTATATACATTTGTATGGCGGCCATCTTGAAAATGGCGGTCATCTTGAATGAGCAGAGATATTTTTGGCACTTCTTTTTTGAAATCTACATGGTCTAAAGATGATTTCCTGAGAGTTTCATGCTTGTATCACAATTTGCACTATTTTGACAGCAGAGACCTTATTTCCCGCCCCACTAATAAATATCTATACTGATATAGATTTAGATATAGAATAAATAAACGACACTTTATCATAGGATAACAATTTCAAATTAAAATGTCTCATTTCATTCTATAGGTTATAGGTCCGTTTGTGTATGATTCACAAAAGCCAGAATTTGACGGGAAATTGATTTTGACCGTTGAGTACACCAAAAATGACACAAATGTAATTGCACACTGGAACAAAAATGGATTTACAAACCATGGTGATGTTGACGGACTGTCCTTTGAAGTTGCAATAGGTATTAGACATGCAAAACTTAAACAAAATAAAAATACAGATCAACACAAGCATATGATCATGTTTTTATAAAGGGTACTATCCTTTTTGTGTTATTGCGTCTTTAAGATGTTGTCAAAACAATCAGCAATAATTAATACAAAGGTCTCGTGTGAACTTGAAAATCAATATATTACAGCCACCTGAATATGTTTCTACCACCAAGATAGTTGCAAACTTTACTTCCATTTAATTGTGCCCTTAACATTTTGAAATCATTTCATAAGGTAGTAACAAGCCATACATTCTACCTATAAATGTCTCGCGCTATTTCCACTATTTCTTGATCAGTTAACGAACAATTTATTAAAGAAAGTCTAAACAGCCCTGACATATATGATGTCAGATCAGAAAAAAATTGTCATTGTAATAGAAGTTCTCTGAGCAATTTTTAAAAAAATTAATCGATTCTTACAATATTTTGTACTGGACAAAATTGCGAACTGAGTAAACACAATTTTTAAAGACTGAACTTAATTTTGAAAAGTGAAATTTTAGATTATTTTGTTGTAATAAAACCCCACCTTCAACATCCCAAGATTTACCCCATATAAATTTTTTTTTTTTGCCCTAGATATCCCAAATTTTTTTTTAAAAATTTATATCACCAAAGGGGTTTATCGAAAAATGCTCAAAATATTTCTTCCATACAGAAAAACTATCAATCGGAGGGGAAAATGTAAATTTCCAAAATAATCCCCCCACATGTACGCGATTTTATTGAACCATTTACAAAGGCACCTTACACAGGGAACAAGTTTTTATGTTTCCCTCAAAGCTGAAAAATTTTCTGGTATGGGGATGTGATTGGATTCCCCGAGAATGTTAAAAAACGTTGGGGGGACTTGCTTCAAAGGGACCTTTTTTCAAGGGTATCGATGGGCTCAAAAATTTTTTTTGTTTTCATGCATGGGATTTGTTTTGCTTATTTCATCAAATAAAATATAAAAATTTTTATTCAAAATGTATATAGGAGGATATTACTTCTTTAACATTTGAAACATGTCAAAAATGGCTTGTCTAACAAGATCAAATGTCTTTAGCCTTGTAAATACTATAATGCTACATTCAAAATAGGACATTTCTTAGCAAAAGGATGGGCAAAAGCAAAACAAAACAAAACCACACAGTTTTGGGAACACTCTGTCTACAAGTTTTTCGGATTTTTGCCTTATATTTTGTACAACTGCATTAACTATTGAAAATATATTTGAACAAACAACTTAGAGTGCAGTTATTGTGACCGGAGCTTTAGTGACTTCATGGCCACAAATTTACGCCATGAATACTGTGAATATCGAATATATTTCGTAAAAAAATCAATATAAATTTTACTTCAGTTTGTTGATATCGACGATATCGACTTCCAGACAACAAAATCTCAGTTACAGAGCAGATGGTCCGGATTTGAACACCCTTTCAATGAAATAATCAAGTTTACAGTTTGTGTGTCAGAAAGTATAAGCAAAGAGTATATAGTTTGTGCAAAAAGTGATCAGACGAACATGCACAAGTTTACTCATCTTGAACTAGAGCCATACAAGGTATATTACATTTTCATGTTAAATTGTTTAGAATTCTATAACAAACGAAACGTACAACAGACAGTAGTAATTAGTTCACCTATGTCGAAAATAATAATATTTTAATATGAAAATATGTATTGAATTAAATACATCTATGAAATAACTAAATTACGAATTATAATGTCTCGTGTTAGACCTACTACCAGACTGTAATTGCCGAAACTGAAGCAGGGAGTGTAAGCAGTGTTTCTGATGGGGTGACTGTAGTAGTCGTTGGCGATCTGATTAGGGGAATAAGCGTGCTTGATGGCCCATTGTGTAGTACCTCTGTTAACAGTATGATCTTTTATTTCATTTCTTTGAAATGCTGTCGTTTCAATTAAGTTTATTTTTGTTTTGTCCGGAAAACAATTCAATTGCACTATTATAACATCTTTATACAATGATAATAGCTAAATAATTCAGTTTGTTCAGCGTGTTTTGTCCTTCAGTGTGAATTTACAGTTATCCTATTTGGCTGGACATTGTACATGTTGTAAGGTACATAGGTTTGTAATCGATGCCCTCTTATGTTTAACTTTTTATTGTTTCACATAAGAAAAAGAGTAAAACATCAACTGTTTTGATTTTCAGATGTCAGCTCTTCATCGCCAGTTAAACATGAGGTAATTGCTTTTGATTTTTTCAAGATCTTCTTAACTACTTTTCAACACTTAATATCCTGGTGACATTTTTGAGGCGAATTATTATCTAAAACAGTCATTAATTAATGAATTAATAACATGAATAAGTACTTATTTGGTTTTATCTTTGACCATTTGGGTTTCTTCGGGTGGTTGTTGCTTCAGATCTATAAATACTTCCCTTCTTTGTTTAAACATTAGTGTCATTTTAAGGACTTTAGTACGAAATGCTATAGACACATTTAACCATTTCAAAACAAATTCCTTAATTGACTGCTTTGATTCTACATACAGGTCAAGAGTAGAGTATGTTTAAAAGATGTTGACTTTCAATTGTCAACTAACGTGTTACAAGCTCACTGGACAATTCCATACTGGAGAAAACACATTTTAAAAGATATATTCTGGGTAGTCGAGAAAAAGGATCGATATTACGGTAAAATAATAGACTTACATATACAACATTTCAAATATAAAACACAAATATATAAGTTTATTTCTGGCCAAATCCAAACCGCACACAATTATATCTTGGGAATGCAGCAAGGAACACAGACACAACGCTCAAACCCACTTGGCCAAATGATAGATTTTATGACTCAGTTTTCAGAGGTGGTATTTAAAGTAACGACTGTAGTAGGTATATGCTTATGTATACATAAGACACCTACTCTACGTAAAGTCATGAGTTATTGTTTGATTTTATTAACCTGTCAATTCCATACTGATTATACGGTCAATGCACAGAATATATTAATATTCGATAAATGTTCGGTAAATTCCGTGAGATGTGCGCAGTAAGATGTGATAAAATTCATCTTGTTATTTTGAATTAGTTACACTGACCGTTATAGTGCAATAGGGTAAACCACTGGTATATTTTATCTGAATGTTCAACGTGTTGTAGGATCGAGACAGAGTATGTCCAGTATTTTTTTATTCATAACTATTTTCAACATGTTTTTTTAAGTTATGGCTGTTCCGTTTTTAATATGTTTTGCACCTTTTTGTTAATACTATACATTTGTATATATAAACAATTTTTAAGAATTAATACTGAAAATTCATTCCGATTAAAATCAAGAAATGTAATTATACAATATGAAATGTGACAATTCAGTGTTTCTTAGTTGTTCATATCCGTGTAGACAAATTGCAAGCGCTTGACCATTTTCATTAAATATACTTTAAAAATAAAGAAAGAATAAGTCTAAAAAGAATGTCAAAAAAGGGGATCGAACTCGGACCTTCTCATGCATTAGGTAATCACTTAACCGACTGTGCTATTGCGGATGTTACAAGAACCTAAATTAATCTAGTGGGAGTTTTCCAAACGTAAGTGATACACTTCATATTAATTCTCGTAAAATAAACGGAAAAAACCGAAGTGGGATCGAATATGTAAATGAGTGCTATAATATATTCATAATTGACAGGTCAATAAAATCAGACTATACAATGACACAACGTCTTTGTTTACTAGTTTTTATTGTTGAGATCATTTAGAATTTTTATACAGTATTATAATTTGTGGTCAAGTAAAAGAACGAAGATTAACGAGAAATGTGAAATACAATAAACGCAGCCCCAAACGTTAGATATAACTAACAAATGGTATTTAACCATTGGAATAATGTTTTTGAAAATAAGTTTTACGTGTTTCATTTTTGCAATTTCCCATAAACATTAAAATTACGAGATATCTAACTTTTTTTTGCAAATTCTGAAATAGAATAATTATAATGTATGCCCCTCTCCGAAGTTGTTAAACACGTACTCAATTGACATAATGGGATGATTGTCAGTGTTCTTATCGTATAAATTGCACTTGGGTTTTCCTTACTTAATTGATTGTTATAACGGTGTCTCACCATTGATTTTTTCTAGTGCCCTTTCCTTACTTTGTTGGTAGCTTTTCTCGATTCGATGTCGGTGGATTGGTGTTGCCGCGGATTGCTAAGAGCTGCATTCATTAAATGCCGCCTTTCATTGTTGATTTCTGATGTCATATTTTTACTCGCCAATGCTACTTAAATTTGGTATAATGATTGGTCATGACTAGTTAATGAGATTGTTTGTGATGACTAGTACTTGACCCGTGTATATTAATGGATCAGTCGGTTGAAGTTTAATGTCACAACGGTCTTGACCATAGAGACCATAGATACCCTGACGGTCAATAACTACCTAACTCGTAGGTTGGTCATACCTACTTGATAAGGTATTGAGTTTCTGGTCAGTCTGTTAAAAGAAAACATCACTGTTACTTTTAACTTACAAAATTCAGTCACCAAAGAATGTTATGGCCTTAGATTTGGCATGGAGGTTAGACATGACTAGTAGATGAATCGTGTTGATTATTCTAGTCAAGACTAGTTAGCTACCGTAATGGGAGCAATCATGTTTTGCTATATAACACTTTTATTTCCCTTAGTTAGCAGTATACTATTATAATATATTATTTATAATCCAACATTTTCAATTTAGTGTTAACCATTTACTATGTCACGATTTACATAATTTATTTTTTAAGACAAATGGAAAGCCCTGAGTGAATATCAACCTATGAATGCAACCACTACACATTTACATGCAAGTGATTTGACGTTATTTGCCGGGAGAAGATATCGGGTATCGTTAAAGTTTTGTGCTGGCAAATTTTGTTTCAAGCCTGTGCAAAGTGACGGTGTATTTGTTGTGCCAAATGACCCCAAAACAGGAAAACTGTCAGTAACTGCAAACAGAACACAGGTAATAATAAGAACAATGAAAACGAAACGATTTGCAAATGTTTGGGTATATTTTCAAGCCGTTATTCATTTCCTGTAGCTTAAAGGTCCATTCCTCGCTTGGAATGATTTTATTTCCCTTTAAAAAGCTTAGTTTGCTTTTTATTTTTGGTGTACTTTTACAATTTGCAAACAATATCATATTCGCCAATTTATGGAACCATTTGGCTTTTTTTACATTGTAAAAGTTCTTTAGTTTTTTGTATAAAAGTCAAATTACATTTACATTTACCATTTTTATGACTAATAATTTCACATTTAGCACTTCTTTAAACTGATAACAAATATCTAACATGTTCTTAAAATATAATGAACAAGATCAACAAGGAAAGGCGGACTTCAACGACAGCAACCCCTTAAATTATAAGGATAATTATTAATTATCATTAATTATTAAAACAATATAATTTCTTCATTCTTTCGAAGGAAGTAAGCGTCACGATAAATAAAAAAAAATTGAAGCAAAATATGCCTTTTAAATAATATTGTCTAAGCATATGTTAACCAAACAAAGTTTTGATTTTATAGATTGAAATCACCCTGGAACGATTTGTGGATTCTGATATTGAAAGTGTTGACAAAGCAAGAGATGTCCTAAGTCACTATGAATGGGCGTTAGCAGATAAATCTTTTTCGAACCATTATCTAACGGAATGGAAACGTTTACCACCACCTCATTCTCAAAACGATAAGTTGGTTAGAAACTAAGAATATTATTATCCCCTCCCGATTCCAAAGATATTGTTTTGGCGTTGTCCTTACGTCCGAATTTTGTTGCCGTGCTAGTTCTCTGCTACTAATGGCTGGAATTCAACGAAACTTTATGGGAACATTCAAAATTAATGGGAGATGCGCAAATCACTGCCTTGTTTTTGGTCAGACCCTTTTACACAGTCATGGCCCTTGATTAGTTATGCAGTATGCATATAGTGCAATAATCGTTAATTATCTGCAAGTACTGGAATTCAACATAACTTCACGGGAACGTTCAATACTAAAAGCAGATGTGCATATCTTCAAAATCAATGCGGAACGTTGGTGGCTATACCCGGGTGTCCGTTCACCTTGTTCCGGTCTGAATCTTAAACTCGGAGTTCGGCCGTTGATTATAGTTATGCAGTATGCATAAAGAGCAACTACTGACTGGGATCGAACGAAACTTTATGGGGACCTTCAATACGAAGAGGACATGCGCATATCGTCGCCTTATTGTGGTCAGAACCGTTAACTTAGAGTTATGGCCCTTGAATTTTTATGAAGTATGTATATAGAGCAATAATCGTTTCCGCGCTACTTCTCTGCAACTACTGGCTGGAATTCAATAAAACTTTATGGGAACCTTCAATACCAAGAGTAGATTTGCATATCGTTGCCTTCTTCCAATCAGACTCTTTATCCCAGAGTAATGGCACTTGATTATAGTTATGCAGTATACATATAGAGAAATAATCATTTCCGCGTAACTTCTTAGCCATTACTGGCTAAAATTCAACGGAACTTTATGGGAACCTTTAATACCAAGAGGAGATGCGCATATCGTCGCCTTGTTCGGTCAGACCCTTCAAGAGAGAGTGATAGAGAGAGAGAGAGTTATGGCCCTTCATAAGTTGTGCAGTTTGCCCATATTTCAATATTGCTATTTCTCTTTAACTGCAAGTTTGATTTAAAGAAGACTTTGTGAGAACCATCAATATGTAAAGGAAATTTGAATGCCATGATAAATTTATGTATAGTAGCCTCCAGTTGTTGTATTAGTAATAATCAGTACTCGGCGAGGGACATAAATTCAACGAATTTGCTTGTTTTCATTTATATAACAATTAATTATCATAAATATGGACTAGTGTTGTTAATATTTTAGCGCATATGATTATCTTTACATTTACTTAACGTAAAACGTGTCCATTGCTGAATAATACAGGTCCTTGACTTCAAATCGCTTGCCCGCATGGCTATGGGTTCGAATCCCGACAATGTCTTTGGATTCCTACATGCGGAGAAGCTTACAGAACGTCGGTGGCTCTACCCGGGTGTCTGTTCGTGTCTAAAATAATGCACGAAGGTGCACCAAACTTGTTTATTCATCATTTGAGTTGGAAAGTCGCCATATGTCATATGCTGTGTTGGTGCGATGTAAAAAAAAAAACAATTAACAAAATTCTTTAATGTTTATTGTTTAACACAGTTAACATTGTAAAAACACTTAAACTTGCAATTTATTGCAACTATTTATTTAACTGTCAACAGATGCATTATACAATTGATACAAAAGACAGTGAAATATTCAACACTTGTGTTGCATTAGCGATTAAAGGATACACAGTTACTGGTCTTTCGTCAGTGGTGACATCTGAAATACAAAATTACCCTGGCCGCGAAAAATGCACGGAAAGCTTAGTCGTTGATGCTGTCGGAGACCCATTGACAAATGGTAAAACTACGCTTATAAACTGCTTAAAGATCCTGTATGTTGTATGTTGTATAACACACTGAAGTGAAATTACATATATGTATATAATTATGCTTATAAAACAATTTTCAAACATCAAAGAAAATATTTTTACATTGAAATATATGCATTCATTTCTTATCGAAAAAATTGACTTAGACTTTATAGAAAATATATTTTTACCTCCCTTTATTTACACGAAATGTTAAATTCGGTTATATCTTATAAATAATGCTCTTTGAAACTTACAAAATTGATCAGTTTTAATTTGAGCATCATATTTATGATACAAAACCATAAAAAAGATATAAGATGTCAAAAGAAAACTCATATAATGTAGAATTATTTGATTGCTTTATTCTATTAATATGAATGTATGATGTAAAAATACATATTTGATATAAGTTTTGTAACCAGAACTATGGTTTGCATTTAGCGCAAAACATATCAAAATCAGGTTGAGATTTTGAATTTGGTATCAATTTTATTGATCACTTCAATTCTATTATTTCTTCTTTAAATTCAATTACAAAGATATACACCAAATATTCTATTTCGTGTATGATTAAACGTTATTTGTTTTAAATCAAGATTCAGTAAACGAAGGTACAGGTATCATCCTTTCCGAGAATGGTATCTGGAATGAAATAGACAAAGACTACACACCTTACAGCAACATACTGTCTGCTGTGTGGCCAACTTTAAGGTAATATTTTTCTTACTTATATTAATTTTGTTTCAAACAATTGCTAAAAGACTTGTCTTAATGTAACGAATGATGCATCAATGATTTTTGACGAGACGTTGATCGAGTATGATGGCTTTTTCAGCTCGATTATTACAATCACTTACATGGTACAAACTTACTGTAATTGATATGTCATGAGACTTGGTGGCAGCATCTCAAATTTGACAAGATTGCACAAGCCTGATTCAGTCAGACGAATAACAAATATATGAATATAAATAACTAAATGCTATAATATATTCTAATTTCAAATAAGTTACTATTCAACCATAAGCATGTGTTTTCGTAGACGTTATCTATTCCAAAAAGGTGTTTCTTCAAAGGAATTGGTCATAATTGGAAGGACTGTACAACCGTAAGTACGCTATAACAACAAACCTCAGGATTTATTGTATATAAATGTTCTTAGTAAAATGTAAAAAAAAAACATAATCAGATAGTTATGTTAGCTGATTTGTACTATTTTGTATAAGCGTGCATAATTGATCAATTATTTGATAATACTTATGGAAGTCACGAATTCACTAAAACCTTTACATGCCCATGTATTTTTACTTTTAACAGATATACACAGTACCAATGGATTGTTTTAATTACAAAAGGCCACAATTCAAGTGTACTCAGTGATCGTATTTTGCGATTCGATTGGAATAAATCATGTGATTATCCGGATGTCGTTAAATGTGGAGAAACTAGTATGTATCCCTCTACTTGGATCCGCTGTTGCCATGAACCACTTATATTGATTACTTGCTTATGGCGTTAAAATATCATCACCTTCGGCATAAATCCGTTTTGTCCTCTTCTGAAGAAAAGGCATACCTTTCTTAAATAGCGTTTAAGTAATGGATAAGGGCAAATAAGATTCTTATCACGTGACGAAAGTGGTTGAAAGTGGTTGATGATTTGAAATAGAAATAGCAAACGGATATACAGGCGTCACTTGTCTTTTCATACATACTACTTAATCACTATTACGTAACTGATGGCAAAGAGACATATTAAGATGAATATTGTCGGCCAATTAAAACCATTTCTGAAACCTTAACAAAACCATAAATTTATTGCTGCATTGCTATTTAGAACAGACTATGGACGATTTTTGAGCTTCAAGTGATAGTTTGCCCATTTTACACTGTCACATTGTATAAATTAAAATAAATCACTTTATGCTAACACCTACCTATTCCCAGAAAGGTCTTTTCGTCATCACGTTTGTCACGAGTCTATTTAATCACATAATTGGCGTCTGTTTTTTTTTTAGTTTTAATGTATTAATGTGACCTTTGTGTAAGTTAGTTATTTCTTTCCAGGCATTTTTGGTGTAATGACTGTTTTTATCAGTATAGTTAATTTCTACATTTAGATAATATTAGTTCCGTTATACTTTTTTTTAAAGCCATGCATTACCTGATATTTCAGCAAATGAGTTCGTAAATGTAAAGTTTGAAAAAGGGGAGCTAATACATGGTACCCGATATGCCATTTGCATTCATCACACTCAACGTAGTTTCGAAGGAAAGATCCAGCATGTTATTAACCAATGTAGTGATGGTATAACTGTCGACTTATCTCCACCTCTAACTGCCGATGTAATGGATAGGAACAACAGAAAGTCATCAAAAAAGCTTTCAGGTATAAAAATATAAACGGGTTGCTTCCCGCGAGTATTTCTACCACAATACAATAAAAGCATGTATATATCAGGCACTTTTGTCATCAACAGCATTAATGCTTACAATTTCATTGCTCAAAAATACTATACATTTAATTTAAATAAGTATGTGAAAACACATACCTTTATTATACATGTATAAAGGGAGAATATAAGAAAAAAATACGAAAAAAACAAGGTCACAACAGGGAAGGGTGGCAATCAATGAACTCGTCCCCCAACACAGAACCATGGAAATATTAACCATAATGAAATTGTTCTTATCTGCAGGCATATAAATGCTAGTAATGATCATGAAGAATATGTTGATATATAGGAAAACATTATTATACATAATTTTGTTATCCTCTTTTTTTAATTATGATGTCTAGAACAGAAATTAGATTACAATCAGTAATTAGACTTTAATTTCCAGACATCAACGTCAGACCTTACTGTCAATTGGGATTCTTTTACTGATATAGAAAAATATGGATATGCTATGCACAAGACTGCCATTATGTACTACGAAGTAGTTTTAGGTATGGTTCAAAAGTAGTCTTTCATAAAAATATCATGTAATAAAAACGATACATATCAGCTAGTTATGAGCCATATTTTTAAATATATCTACCTTTGAATGAACATGTTGCGGACGGTCTAATAAGACAAATCTGATGCTTGAAATCATAATAATTAGGTTATTAAAATATGTAACATTTGATAAAATCTCTGCTTATTTATCAATAACAGATTATGTATCATTTTTTATACATATACTTATTTATCATGTTCAATAACATTAAAATGTGTCGTACAAAGATAACAAATTCTTGCATGTTTAAAAAAGTGTGTTGGAAGGAAACAGATATACGTGTTTGCTATTTCAGTTAAGTGTATGTAACAACTTTTTTAATCATCCAGTGTTTTGAAGCGCAGATTTGTTTGAAAAACCATTCCCGTTCTGTGTAATTCCACTATTGTGTTCAATGTTCTATCTAAAGATTGACGGAAGAGACCGAAAAGTTTTTGAAATGCAAAATTAGAAAAGTGAAGATTATAACCAATTTCAGAAAGCACATCAAGCGCCGAGAAAATTAGATACTTCGCAAATGTTGGACTCACCAACCACAAGACATTTCATGGGCTTCAATTAAGACATGGCAACACATATTTTGCAACTGTTACCGGTAAAAAGCTTCTTTCTTCGAATGTATGAAATATAAACAGTTTAAGGTAACACGTGTTTTAGAGACTATTAAGTTTTCAAAAACATATTCGAATTTTTTTTCTTGTCTGAAATCGTTTAAAAACCAATTCGATATATATACCGATAAATTGCATTTATACAGAAAAAATATAACTAATGATTGATTGTGTCTTACATATAGTATCAAATAGAGTAAGCACTGATGCGAGTAAATATTATCTTTAATTACAACAAGATGATGATAAATCCGCCATGTCTTTTTTTTTTCAATGATGAACAATTTAATAATTTGTTATCAAGCATACGACTTTACTGGCCAATCGTCGAGTTCAAAGTCTAGTGGAATTCGAGTGGACATAACTCCACCCCAGTTGACAGATTTGACAATCACAATGCCGTCGAGATATATTTTCGAATACGCAGTTTCGTGGGAGGCCTGGTAAATACATGATGATCTTCTCAGAAATTTTTGT